TCTCTCTCTCTCTCTCTCTCTCTCTCTCTCTCTCTCTCTCTCTATCTATCTATCTCTCTATCTCTCTCTCTCTCTCGACGCTGTTCCATATTTTCAGTTCGCCGAAAGAATGGGTAAACGCCAACATGGGAACATCATATATATATTTCGGTCCAACTAGAAATAATTAAAGAGGAACAATAACTCGTTAACCGAACTTCCTAGAGCAGATTTTTCAAACCTGTTGTCGATTAAAATCATAGACTATTCGATGTCGGTTGAACGTTTTATATCGTGGACCGTTATCAAGTACTAAAAGAGATTTCAAAGCGATTCTCTGTCTTATGTAAAATTTCACGGTTTCGAATTCCCGGTCCGGTTGTGCTTCGACTCTTAACTTAACACTGGGTCCCAATAAACGGAACCAATTCGGGATCGTTGCCCGCTGGAATTCGGTTTCGATTTCGGGGGGTCGCGATTCCTCGCGATTTATTCGTATCCCGAATTTACTTTATCTTCGGTCTAGCACAAATGTAGATACCTCGAGGTAACCCGCTTTACAAAGCTGTTCATATATACGATTCTTTTCCATCTTCATTTTCTTTTGGCATCGCTACGATCGCACTCGCCTACAGCGCTGAAAAGCAATATGTTTATGTAGATTGTAGATGCTGTGCTCCGTGAAAAAAAAAGGAATCCTCGATAACGATACACATCCGTATCGTATCGTACCCGTAATATTAGTCTTCGATATTCGCGTGAATCTTGGGAAAGGTCTTCAAGAGACTTATGATATGCCGTGTGAAAATAGAGGAAAAATATGTATATATCTCGATTCGTGCGGAGGCGTATCACTCTCTCGCGCGCGTAAAAATACAATTTATATTTTATACGTAGATTATTTACGGAAAGACACATCAAGGGATCGGACACGTGCATCCTGGATCCTGCGCACGAACTCTCGTAGCGTTTAGTCCGTACGCGAAGCATTCTTATTTATTGCTAGAATCGAAGCCACGAGCTGCGATATCGGCGCGAATCTCTGAGGTAAACAATCTAGCGGATTTTTTGTTGTTGTTGTAATGTAGATTAAAGGATGATTGAATAGATTGGAGGAGTATCGATGTAGAGTGTCTGATGGTTGCAGTTCTTATGATTTCTCGACTGCCAAGATAGTTCTAACGAAACGAGCAATATATATATAGATAAACGTTGATAAGTTTGGATAACCGTTAACGATAGGCGGATTTGCGTTGTATCGCGATTCGCGGCTTCGCGTCGATCGTTTAACGAACAGTCCTTCGCTGGCGGAAGATAGTTCTTTACTAAGCAAATCTGTCGCACTTTATATATCTATCATACTTGATATATATATATATAAAATTACTATACATATATATATATATATATATATTATACAAATATAGGTGTAGGGTCCAAAATATATATACATTTTACAAGACTTTCTCGTGAACCAAAACACCATGCTTTACTGCTGCAGTGGACGTAGTGCTTGATTCGAGCCGATCAATTAGTTGAATCAGCGTGTTGTGTCGTTGTGTAACTTCCCTCTTCTCCTTATTTTATGCGGAGCGATAATACACCTATACACACCATTTATATATGGAAATAATTTTTTTTTTTTGTGTCGTACTAGTTTTCCTCGCGTTTTGCGAAAGCTAAATGCGAGAGTTGTATAACATAATTTATTTTTTATATATTATAATTATTAAAAAATTATCATAATTTAAAAAAAATATATTATTAAAATAATCTATTTTTTATATAACGCTCAATTGTTCTTGAATCAAGCACAACCTCTATCAATTATAATAAAGTGATAGTCAAGGTAATATCTTTAAAAAAATAAAATTTATGATACTCGTAATTTCTCGGGAACAAAAATGCCTCTCACGAAAAAAATTAAATATTATTGTCGAATGCTCTCTTCTTTTAACCAAATGTATCGCTGATTTATACAGGCATGATAAACTTTTAAAAGAAAAACGATTTTGATAACATCGTTGAACAATCAATACACTTTTGACGATTTTACACGGCTCTCTGTGCGTAGTTTAATCGTTTTGTACAACTGGATCTCTTGTAACGCTTGACTATTAGTTTATTATAAGTATGTATTTCATCGAAATATATGTATATATGAAGAAAGTGCACAGAAAGACGTAAGTAAAATACTCTGTAAAACACGCTTTAGCCTGTACGTGCGTACGAGCACATTCTACGGTGCCTCTCACACTTATTTCACTTTTAACACGTGATTCGACTAATAAAACTAATTAATAACGTGTAGGTCATGAACGAGATTATATATTACGACGATTATACATATATACAGCATGGTTCACTTATTAGTAGCGCGGTGCGATGAAGAATTTTTCATTCGTCTATAACGATTTTTACACATTGAAACACTGTTGGAAAATTTGTATTTTCTTATTAAAAAATATGCCGATTAAAATTTTTGTGTTAAATATTTAACACATTTGTGTGTTAATTTAACATATCGCTGTTGTGTTAATTGAATTCAAATGTTAAATTATTAAAACAATTGAAAAAAAGGATAAAAATAACACAATGTGCACATATTTTTAATTTTACATAATAAATATGTTCCATATTATTAGTGACAGGATTTATCTGTTAAAATTTACAGAAAACAATGTTATTTTTATTCTACAATAGAAGTGAGAGTGACTACAAACCGTTAATAACAATTTTCTAAGTTAATTTTATTATTAAAAATACGTTGATTTTACAAAAAAATTATTTCAAATTATTATAAAGTTTGCATTCATTTCGTGTTAAAATATTAACTAAATTAATATTAGTGTCACTATTCAACATATTCATATTATGTTAATTTAACGCACAAATTTATGTAGACCGTTTGAGATATGCGATATATGTTAAATTTAAGCCAAACTTTCCAACAGTGTATTGGAAATATCGATTTCGTATCAATTTTCTCCAAAAACCTTAAAAATTTTAAATTCTTGCTTTTATATTTCATCATATCTATTTTTTCTAAACTTGCAGTAATTAATGAAAAATTCTTTGCACAATGCACGCATAAAGAGATTTCGAGCATTTTGGGACGGAAAAGGATAAATGTGCGCGATGAACAAAATTTAGGTACTATACAATCTTGAATAAGTAGAATGGCGTTCGTTATCATTATAGAAGTAGAGACAATCAATAAACATCGTCATTAACGTGACGTTGTGTGAGAATCAAATTTTCTTTCGCTATCTATTGAGTAGCATATTCTCGATTTAGTCAACGAAATATACATAAAATAAGTTGTGTGTGTGTGTGTGTGTGTGTGTGTGTGTGTGTGTGTGGTTAAAAAAGAATATGTAGATCGGTGATATTTAATGGCCTCGCGTTCTCTAAGCGTATCATTATTTTATTACAATTATTATTGAGTGATTTATTCTTGGTAATATAAACAACGAAAAAAGGTGATTTTATATATGTAAAAATAAATCGAAAATGTAAATGACATTTTTTTGATATAAAACTTTCTTTACAAAAATTTATTTCGCATTTTCAATTTATTTTTGCATATTGAATCACCTCTTTCGTTATTATAGCATCAATAACGAATTTTATATACATATCTTGTATAAGATATTTTCGTTAAAGAATCTCAAGTACATTACATTTTAATCGAGAATTTTATATTTTTTATTCTACTGAGAAAATATTACTTTAACTTATAAAATTATAAGTTCTCTCTACGATTTATTTAAATAGGTTTAAAATATAATA